AGTGAATGGCTTTATATTTTTTGAAGTTCATCAAAGTCCATCCATCCATGATAAAAGTGCCCCACACGGCTCTGCGGGGGTTAATAAAGGCCTTATGAAGTGAAGCCATGAGTTTGTGTAAGAAAAATATCAATATTTAAAACTTTATCGACTAAAATAACTAGCTTCACTTCAGAAGGCCTTTATTAACCCCCCACCCCGTGTGGATTACTTTTAGGATGGATGGATGCACTTTGATGAACTTCAAAAAATATAAAGCCATTCACTAGCATTATCAAGCTTGGAAGAGCCAGGACACTTTTTTAAATAAAAATCCAAATGTATTCGTCTGAAAGAAGAATTTCATATAATCCTAGGATGACTTGAGGGAGAGTAACCCATGGGCTAATTTTCCTTTTTGAGCGAACTATCCCTTTAATGTGTCCATGACTAAAAGAAAGATGAATATATGATATAAGATTGTACAATACAATATAAAGATAAATATGATTTAAAGTTTCAATTATGAGAAATAGTCATAACACTGAGAAAAAAAGTCACAACTTTGACCAAATAAAGTTTCAAATAATTGTCACAATAAATAAAAGTCACAATTGCGAGAAATTGTGAGAAATAAAGGCACAAATAGCACTTTTTTGTTTTAGTGGTGTAAATGGGCTTCCAGCCAGAGACAACACCGTGTATAGTAAAAAATTACAAAACATTATTACCATCTTCATTATAATACTGTACATATTTTGGCTTTATATGGAAGAACTGGTGTAGAATGGCATCCACTGGAATCTTTTTTAAAGCATGCACGCATGTGTTTCAAAACATTGTTCCTCCTCTATTGTATGAATCTTTTGTGTCTGTTCTAATCCCATTCCTAACTTGGTTACTAATACAATGTTGATTGTGCAACAATAAACAGACAAGATTTTTTGTTTGACCTAGTGTGACATTAATACCTTCTGTGAGTGTTTTGAACAAATAGTTCTACCTCAGCTGCATGAAAGCGTGCATGTGCGTGCGCTCATCTCTGTGAATGTTGCACACAACAGCAGGATGTGGACAAATCTGTCTCATGCTGCTACCTGTCAAACCGTTTCATCTTTTTTTCTTTACACGATGGCTTGTGTTCGACTTCTCTGAATTTTTTTAGGTTTCCTCCCACACAGCGGTGAGCTTCTGGTTGATTGCTCTCAGTATGCAACAGGAACTTTTATCATTATGAGAGATAACTAGGATTTTATGATTCTGAAATTGTCATTTGCCTTACACCTCCAAACTCGATAAAAAAAGTCCCATGATTTGTCACGAGTTGTTACTGGAGCTTTATATTAAAACAGAAATGTTACTTACATGTGCAATGGGATTTTAAGTCCCATTTAAACTCCACAGGATACACAAAATTGTAATGTCGAATAAAAACACAGGTTGGGCATTTCATCAAGATTATATAGACCATTAGATAAGTTTCTGTTCAGATAACTACTTATATTAGCAGCATTGCATTTTAACAACTGGTATTGATGTTGTGTTTGCATGTTTATTCAATAACTGAAGAAAAAGGTTTAGTGTCAACCTCGTGAAACAGCTCCAGTGAAAGCTTGTGTGTGTATGTATAACGGTGTTGTAGGTTGGCTTTAAACAGAAGGCTTTTGTGCTCTTTTGGTGCACTGCAAAAGTAGCCTACAAGAAGGTGTAGCTGTAAAAAAAAAAAAAGATATAACAAAAAATTACTCACTATAGAAAATGGAATTCTCCAGATTCAGACTGACACCGAAATGTATGTATGAACAACAGAGTGTAAATTGCTTCTGTATGTGCACCTGAAGAAGTGTCCTTTATATTATATACCAAGGTCCAAATGTTTTGAGAATCAATAGATTCACAATTTAATTTAAACCAGAAAATAAGCCTTTTTAATATATATATAATGTACATAATTCATATTAATGTTAATATACTGTACTTAAAATTAAAGTTACACTATGCAACTTTTGGCCCATTGCGGTTAAAAATTTTTGCAGAAGAACATTGTTTTGGTTGTGCTTTGGATCTGCGTGACTAAACAAAAAACTAAAAAAAGTTACATGGTGTACCTTTAACATTAATGTTAATGGTTATTTTAATACTATTTATATTAAAGTTAATATTAATATTGATGTTAATATTTAAGATTCTTTGTAATATTTAAGATTAATCAAATAAGTTAATTTATAAGTACATTTTTGACATTGATCATGTGAACTCTTTGTATGGAGGGTCAAATACTCTTGCTTCTGAGCACGACTCATGAGATGGATCATTCTCAAATCTGGAGAACATGATCATCATTAAATCAGAATGACTTTTCCCCAAGAATCTTTCATGGTTTCTAACATGCTTAACTTAATGACTGAACAATTGACGAATAAATCTCAATTCTCTCTCTCATTCTGATTTCTTTTGTTTTTGGTTCCTTTGTTTTCATGCCAATGGATTAACTGAAAAATGATAGGCCTGTAGTGAACATTTAGTGCCCGTCTTCTTCAATGCACTATGTCAGACCAATTTGTCATATAGCAACACAGTCTGGAATCCCCACAAACAGACACATGCATGCATGACAAAAGGTGTTTGCTCAGCTCAGACGTCACAATTTTGTGTCCCCTTGTGACCTTTCTAACTAATGTGCACACACACATGAATGAATAGCAAGGCCAAAAATGCAGCCAGAAGCTCCCTGTTTTGCCAAAGCAGCCAGTAGAGAGAAAGAGAAAGAGAGTGAATGCTCAGTCAAGGTACATTGGTCCTGTAGAGCAAAACAAAGCAGCAGAGATTCCATCAGGCATTTCCCAGAGTATAATTTAAGCAGTCAGATGTCCCAGCAGAGCAATCAGAGGTGTGTGCTCTGCTGGCACAGGACCCCCATCTTTACTCATACGCTCACTTCCACAGCCAAACAATTTCTGAATTGGGTAAGAAAAACAAGCTTAATTCAATTTGTATACTCCCTGAAAACCGACCTTATTATCTTACACAATTTTGCTTCTCAAGTAAGTTTATCTTGTTTTAAGGATGTTTAAACATTAAAAAAGAAGAAGACTTGAACTAAAACTTGAAGTAACAGGTCAAGCATAACAGCATTACATAAGCTATTCCCAGAGAGGCAGACAAACAAATGCAGGAATGCCCTTTTCTCATTAAACTCAATCTTCTTCCCATTCCATTCTCTCTTGCTCTCTTCTATTTATGCTGTCACACGGCCACATGGCTCTTTGGTTTTAAACTGATCACACGTTTGTGGTTTGAAGAAACACAATCTGGACTGCAGGCACATGAACACACTGAAAACAGAAATGAAATCCATCCATCCATCCACCCATCCATAATAGTCTGCTCTGTATCACCTGGATACCAAAACTGTTTATGAAAGTTATTTCACACGCACACAAAAACACACACACACACACACACACTACAGAGTGAATGTGGCAACATCAATTAAAGGATTAGTTCACCTCAAAATGAAAATGTCCTAATAATTTACTCACCCCAATGCCAAAGATATCCATGTCTTTCTTTCCTCAGTGGAAGAGAAAATACGTTTTTTGAGGAAAGCAGTTCTGAGGAAAACAGTTCTGGATTTTTCTTCGAATAATGGGCAAAAAAATAAATAAATATAATTTTTTTTTTTTTTAAATGACCTATCATTTCGCTAGATAAGACCCTCTTCATCAGCTGATCGTGCACAGCCGGTTACAGCACTTCTAAGACCTTTGAAACTGCATTGATTTGGACTTCAAAACGTTGGTCGCCATTGAAGTCCATTATTCAAAGAAAAATCCAGAAATGTTTTCCTCAAAAAAAAATATATTTTCTTCCACTGAGGAAAGAAAGACATGTATATCTTGGATGGCATTGGGGTGAGTAAATTATTAGGAAATATTCATTTAGAGGTGAACTAATCCTTTCAAATAGGTCATACAAATCTGTTTTTTAATTGATTGAATTGGGTTTTAGACTACAGCGTAACAAGCAAGTCACCTAGAAACAGAGGGGGAGAAAGTATGAAACTAAAAACAGAGATTAGTGGCAGCAGGGAGTGAGAGAAGGTGTGGTCTGAAGCCAGCTGGTATGACAGGAATCCTGACACTCATTGGGTAATTGGTTCTGGCAGATACCAAAAAAACTGTATGTGTGTGTGTGTGTGTGTGTGTGTGTGTGTGTGTGTGTGTGTGTGTGTGTGTGTGTGTGTGTGTGTGTGTGTGTGTGTGTCAAAGTATGAGACAAGTTAAGGTAGGGCACTGTGTGTTTGGTTGCCATGTGACAACAAGGGAATCAACAGACTTCGAGATGAGTGAAAACATTTAAAAAAAAAAGATTTTTTTTGAGTGTGCAATGAGAGAGGAGGGGAGAAAAATATGTTTTAGTGCTAATTTTCTCACAAAGCAATAGATAAATAAATCTGGGGCCAAAATATATTTGAAGCATATTACTATCTACATATAATTAAAAAAATGTCATATATAAGAAATATGTTTTCCAAAATGTAGTTGAAACCAACTTTCAAATGCCAATATATATATATATATGGATAATGTTTTGTATTTTACAATATACAAAGAATGACAAAATGTGTTTATTTGGAAAAATAAATATCTAAAATATTCTAAATAGGCCTACAGGTAGCTATATAACTGTATTTTACATATCCTCATGTATATTTGTGCCCTATTTTATGGGTGTATCATTACATCCACATTTATTGTGTAGGTATTTTCCAGATTTGTGCTTTGAATTATTATTATTTGTAGTAGCCTACATTTATCTGGTCATTTCACAGGGCTGCAAACTTGACTTCACTTTCTGAACGACAGCCAAGATACAAATTTGTCCATCCATGCCATGAACTCGCCCATTTCACAAATTCTACGCTCCCATTGGCCGCCTTTTTAAGGGCGGGGTTTGTGATGAGCCTTGTGCTTGGGGATGTTTGTCCGCATTCTCAAACTAACCGAGTTACCGCTGCTTGGACGTTGGCACACGGGCGATCTCTCGCGGTTCTTAGCAAGTTCTGTGAGTTTTTTTGGAAACTGTACAGTAGCTTTAGAACATTTGCACCACATCGAACGCGGTGATAAACCTGTTATGGCAAGGGAATGTTTCTTGTGAAATTTTGCCTCTGCAACAGTTAATTTCTCTAAGCATCATCATTTTCGCCACCGCAATTGGCTTGAATAGCGCTCTATGATAGTGACCTGATGGACTAAACCTTTACATTTCTACTCCAGAGAACGCAAGATATTATCCCGCAGCAGGACTGTAGCGGAAAACAGCACAATGATGAACAGGAACGGAATGGTCACAAAGATTCGCACGCGGATAAGGACCGACCCCTTCAAGAACAACTATGACCTGGTCGGCAGAGAGCTTGGCAGGTAAAAAACAAAACAAAAAAAACATTGTGGATTATCTGCTGTATACGAGCTATCGTGTTTAAAAGATCAATATGTGTAGAAGGCATGTAGTCATATCCCCGCAGGCAGTTTCACAAACTTGGGAACCGGTGTGAGAATTAATTGGGGGGGGGGAGTGAATCACCGCCAGCTGGAAGCCGAAAGAGGTTTGTTTGGCTCCCGCACGTGTAATCTGAGGATCAACTGGAATCTCGATGGATGTTTAGTACCTTTTTGTAACGTGTCATACTGTAAACGTACGACATGCATTTATGAAAAAAAAACAAAAATGTTTATCACGCACTGTAAGCGAACACCTTTGCGTTTGTGCACACCTTTGCGTTTATTATAACGGGACCGTTCTATTTCGCTGCAGCGTAGACCAGCAGGTGAATTAGTAGTGTTTCCTTCATAAACTAATCGTTGTCCCTACTTGCATGTTTTTGTTCACCAAGTTTTGTGAAGCGCACAATTGCTTTAGTGAATTTTTTCACTCTGCAAAAATAACGCAAATCAAAGACAGAATCACTGCGAGTCAGTGTTTTAAATCAATTCTTAATGAAGAGTTGTATTAACTGAAGGTGTTATTTAGAATTGAAAAAAAAACATTTTTCTTAATTTGCATCTTTTTGTGGTTACCTGTGTGGGAAAAGCTTATGTTTGTTTTAGTCAATCTGTAGACACAAATTTTGCTATTCGGTCGTGAACAAATAGGTTGGGTAAAAGATTCAATCATTACACACAAATTGGCTTGTCACCACTAACTGGTAACAATAAAATGCATAGAAAAGGGACACTGAACGAATCATACTGAATTGCTTAGTAAATGGATTCACAATATTCTATTCATCGTGATAAATCAATCAAAAGTGAACTCTGAACCACTTAACATTCTTATTGGCATTTTCCAGGGGTGCCCCTCATGCCTGAAAATAAGACTTGGATCCTTTCAGTGTGTTTTCTCAAGTAAAAAAAGCATTTGAAACATGTTAATTCAGAGCCGCACGGGGCCCATGTGTGATGGATATAGCGTTGCTTGCCGTGACATTGTTCTTTAACTCTCCACTGACTAATTATAGACAAGATGGTATCGTTTGACCACTCAGATTTGTTTTCTCTTGGACAGATGTGTTCATTTAGAGTTAAACACATGCTGTGCTTGTTGACAATTGCATGGTCTGTATCTGCTGCCTTTTAGCTAACTTTTTTTCAAGTTGCTGGATATTAATTCTCACTGCCATTCTGCATCATTTAACCCAATTTGATGGGTAATTTGTGGATTGGGTTGTAAAATGTCTCGATTTGGACTGGATTTAGTAGGCATTTGGTTCTCTCTGAAGCTTTTTATGTTTTGCTTCACACTACAAGAGATGTGAGGATTCTAAGGCATGAGTAAATCCCAAGTTTTTCCTGTAATTAAAGTGCACTAAACAATACATGCATGAGTCACAAGGCAAGCTGCTTACCATAGTGGTGAATTGAATGAGCATTGGAGGAATGCAGATGTTGGTGGATGGATATTGATGTTGAGATAGGCAGAAGGCGGCGGTCACACAAATATCTTGCATTCCTTCAGCGTAACCTAATCTGATTTCATCCCTTCCCTACTTTTTCTTTATCATATATTGACATCGTTTTTATGTAAACCTGTGACAGTTGCTTTGCAGCAAAGATATTTACACTGAGCTCAGTGGGTCAGCTTGTCTTGTGATTTCTACGGTGGCCTATAGAGCTCAACGTGCTGCGGCTGAAGAAAACAAATGCAAATAGAAAAACACCTTCAAATTTAGAAAATATCTTCATCAGTTTCACAACACATGTGCTCCAAATACTCACAACACAACCAAATAATGCGCTGCCAAAGTTCACAACACAACCAAATACAGAAACGTGCTGCAAATGGCACAGACCGCAACGGAAATGTTTCCGGGGGACCCCAATAAGTGATGAACCCGGGTGGGATATGCTTATTGCTCAAAGTCTTTTACTTTATTGTATTTTTTGTAACTTTATTTTTTTAATACATTTTGTATAATGTCATCAGAATACAAATGAGAAAAGAAGAGTGAGCTGAAAACTTGCGCGTTCCAAACGGCTACATAACGGCACAAGTGTCCTGCTCACTCCAAAGTCCCCACTTCAAGGGCTCTGCCCTTAAAAGGGAGTAGGGCATAGGGATGCTCATGAGCAATAAGCATGTCCCAGCCGGGTTCGTCACTTTTTGGGATCCCCTGGAAACATTTCCGTTGTAGTATGTGCTTCCATTTCTGTATTTGGTTGTGTTGTGAGTATTTGGAGCACACGTGTTGTGAAACTGAGTTTTCTGAAAAGATGTTTCTTAATTTGCGAGTGTTTCTCTATTTGCATTTGTTTTCTTCAGTTGCAGCGCCCTGAGCTCTCTCGGCCACCGTAGATTTCCTCTGAGTTTAAACGAAAATCTTTTTTTAGTGATAGGCCAGCTTTTAAATGTATTCTTTAGCTCTCCCGATGATTATAACATACATGTTGGCCTAGATTTTTCTTTTAGTATGTGCACACACTTCCACTCTTCCCACTGGAGTCAATGGAGTACAACGTAGACTGTAAAATATTCCTTCTGTGTCTGTGTTGCTGAATACTCGTCTTACTGAATGGCCAAACCATCTGGCCCTGTTGTCAGCACTCCATTCATTTGATACAAAACTCCAACAGCAATTTCTGTGTGATTCAGCTAGATAAAATCCAAAGTTTGCTTCCAGACAACTTGTTTGTTTATTTGGAGGATCGGTTTAGTTATAAGTCATGTTTAAGTCAGTTTCCATTTCTAGTCATTTTCTTCCACAATATTTTGGAATCCTTCTGATTTATAACAGTTTATTTATGCTTGTTCTCATTAATGCTCTGTGTACCAAAAGTCGTCACTTGTGTGGAAATGGACCATGTGAGAACAAAATGCGGGATGCTGAAATCCGCCAAATAAACTTGTCCGTTCCACTTGAATATCTGCCAGTTACCCATCATACAGTGTAGTGGATGTCCCAGTTCATTAAAGTTCTTATGAGTTGTGTCCCAATTCAGTGAGATTAGAGGGTATTTTTAAGCATATCATCTTTGGAGCTCCTCCAGAGTATCCAAAAATGACTTTAACCCCAACCTTCAAAATCCCATCTCAGATCATGCACCAAAATATAATCTATTTGAGGAACTTCATCCACACATACCTTAATAAACACATCATCAGTCCTAGCACCCCTTTTCCAGAAGCTTTCCATTTACTTCATGTTTTCTCAGCTATTTTTTTTTTTTTTTTATGAAACTTGACACTTTTTCCGTCCTCTCGCTGTGCGGCTGTTTTGTTAATCTGCACTTTTTATCCTCAGGAAACCAATAAAGTTCATGAGTTCAGCTAAGAATTCAGTGATCCTCTTTCCGAGGTGGTCTGAGTGAGGAATGTTCTCCTGCAGAATTCTGGGATGCTGACTGAGCCTTCTGCCATACCAGTAGCAGACAGGCCAGCTGTGCATGTGTTGCAGTCTTTCACTTAATATTGGGGTTGTATGATTTTCCCTTTAATAACAGATTGAGATTGTATATATCTTAGTGTCTAAATGGTCTTGTGTTTGTGTCTTCATGCACACGTGCATGATTTTGGTCTTTAAATGTTTATCCATTCTTTGACTCTCAAAGTAGACATGTTTCTACCATCTGGGCATAAGAATGAAACCGAGAGCTGGAGACAGATACTGTAGACAGTGAAAGAGAAGATGGTGTGTTTTATTTTATTTTTTTACACAGGAAGTTTAACCTGTACAAATGTACTTTTCCTACCCGTTGAGAGTCATTGTTTTAGATTAAGTCTGACCATATTTATAAGTAGAGAAAATGGATGCTTCAAAGTGTTATTGGATTTTATTGATTTCTTATTCATCTTGGGTGCTTTGTTGAGTGCTGAACAAAGTTGAATTTTATTGTGAGGGAGGGTGTAAAACCGCAAAACTTTCTTTATTTAAATAATTTAACCAATTTTTTAATGTATTTTTATGAATTTATAAAAAAAATTATATATATATATATATTAGTTTGATAACTCCTGACCCTTCAGACCTGCTCTTTTACACCCCACTGAGAAAGAGGGCAAAAGAAATGTGAGCTTGGCAGAATTATGGCAGCCAAGTGATGCCCTTTTGACCTTGTTACTTCTCAGTCTAATGCTTTATGGTTGTGTTTGTAATTCAGAAATTGTACACTTCATCATTTAATGTCTGGACAGTTCAAAACAATATTTTTTGTTCACAACAATTTCTTCACGTGCTGAACTAATGAACAACAGGGTTGTTCTGGGAGTTGGCATCATCACATGCGGTTCTTGTGCTCCATTTGAACTCTGTATTGTGACTGTTCTGAGCTCAGACGCTGGAACGTGCTCGCTTCACCTCGACCCTGCCAACCACACTCACGTTTAGCAGGAAAACCACTACAACGCTGGAAATGGATGGATTTTGGCTTGTACCCTTGGGAATTTTCAGAGGATTTTAAGTGTTCTGCAATCATGGGAATTGTTAACAGCAAGACCAAACAACAAAAAGCTTTTTAAACACCCCATGAAATAAGTAGATTTTTCTGTGGCCACAAAAATATAATGGATATTTAGTAGATGGAGATATTAAAATAGTCTTTTTCTTGTAGGAAAGTTGGCCAATATATTGCAATTTACGAATCATTCATGTTTTCTACAATGCGTTCCCTCCCCTGCCTTTTTGTTTTTGTTGTTTGTTTATTTTAGTTTATGCACATTTATTATTTTAGTTCATTTATCTTAGTTTATGCATGTTATTATTATTTTAGTGTATGTTTTTGTTTTATTTAGTTTTTTTTTTTTGAAGGGTTAACTCATAAGTCGTTCCCTGACTTTGTTCAGCAGCAAATGTCAACACAGGAAGGACTGCTTCGCTTGGGCATTTCATTAGGTCTTTGACATGACAACTGGAAGCTCCATCCTAAATGTTTTATTGTCCGCCTGCGTTTTTGCGTGTTCGTGTCAAACTTTTAAGTAGGGTGTTAATGGAGACGTAGATGGGAAGAGACGAGCAGTGGACAGAGGAGAGGTCACCGGGGGGGCTGTATTTTGTTTGTAAGTGCCGTGTTTGGTCATTGGCTGAACTAGACGGTGGCAGGAGTGGACACCATTGACTCTCAATAGAGGAGTGTTGGAAGAGTGGGTGGTCTGTCTGTTAGGGTCCCTACCACACACACAAACTGGTGTCTCTTTATGATATGGCCTGAAGAGGAGGTGTGGTTAAGAGCCATTTGTCCATCTCGCAGTCAAACAAGAGAATGCCTACGCTGACAGGCCTGTTCTTTCTGTGTGCAGCGCCCTGTGTGTCTTTTGACTGATAGATGAGGCGTTGGGAGGTCAGATGAGAGAGGCAGCAGGAAATCAGTGTGAATGAGCCTGTGTGTGTAAGAGGCCTTGGACAGCTCCAACTGTCAGTCTTATCATTTAGGTGTCAGGCTCTCGTTGAAAACGAAGAAGAGAGGGGAGTGAGTGATCATGAAAACTGTGAAATTGACGGCTTAAGAAAGAATACAAGGATGTTCCCATTTCTTCATAGAAGTCCATTTTTTCTTTGCATGTAGAAAACATCACACATTTTTTGCTTCCTTATGTTGTTTCAACCCTATAGGCTGTTATTTATCAGTAGAAAAGTATTTAAGAATCTTCTTGCTGCTTTTTGACGTTGCATCAGATCATGACCACAGCAACATGTTAAGCTCCAAAAAAGACAGAAAAATGTGGTAAAAGCTCCATAAAAGTAGTCCGTATGACTTGCACATTAACGTCATGCATTTGAAAATAAAGACAATATTCATTTTTGAACACTTCCTTGTAAAAGTGGATTCTGTGTGTCAAAGATGCACCATTTTAAAAAAATGCCAGATTAGTGACTTATCAGTCTGCAACACTCTGCAAGACTGCAACCACGTCTTTATCACCATGCTAACTTTATGAACCAGTTTTATAAGTTTAGTACCCTCTGATATTTAATAAACTTAAAAATGATAATTTATTATACATTTGTTTAATATTTTTTACATTTATTAAACTAAACTTTTAATTGCCTTTTTCTTAAATTAATTTACAATATTTCAAATTAAAAATAAAACTTTATAAATTATGCAATTAAATGTAATATAAATATTAAATATACAGATATGCAATTGTTTTTTTTACAAAAAAAATACCCCCCCCCCCCCAGTATACCACAGAATGCATTAAATCCCTAATCAGAACGGATTGTTCTGGAGCGTTGTGTAATAAACGCTCATGTTTAATAGAACAACATGAATGTCATTATTCAAAGTGTTTTTATTTTGATATCCTCTTCTCATTCCCTAAACATTCCCCAAACTGTTTATTTAATCACTCTTGTGTGTATGTTTGTGTGCACGCAGGGGCAAGTTTGCAGTAGTGAAGAAGTGTGTGGAGAAGACTACTGGCAAGGAGCATGCTGCAAAGTTCCTGAGGAAAAGGCGTAAGGGTCAGGACTGCCGCAGCGACATTCTGAACGAGATCGCGGTGCTGGAGTCAGCGGAGACGAGTCCCTATGTGGTGGCACTGCACGAGGTCTATGAGACCACCACAGAGATCATCCTCGTATTAGAGTGGTAAGACACATATTCGCAGTTATGTAGTGACATTCCCTGACCGTGAAAGCTAAGCGTAATGCGGAGTGTTTTATGATGGCTTGGACGTTGTGCACTGTAATTTTGTTATTCCAAGTCACCAGGGCTTTTGAAGATTAGAATTACAGGCATAAAGTAATGGCCCAGCGGGCAAATCAAAACAGGATTTTTTTTCATAACTCTGTTGTTTGGAAGCGTTTATATTTGGAGCTTGTGTTTGCCTGTACCTTTCTGTTACCACAGACCACATTGAGCTAGTTCTTTTAACTGAGTGAGCTGAAAGTTCCATTACAATAACAAAAAATGAACAAATGTATCATTTCCCAAGTGAGAATGTGGTGTTCTTGTGTTTGCCCCTCGTGAAATGTCAAATCTGAACGCTTCTCAGCCCAAGAAAAGGGCAATTTTTCTGACCACTCTGCAACTGCCAAAATCTGGCAGAAGCGGTTTCCTTCGTCTTGTCATTTTCTGCTTAAGTTCAGCAGGCCTGACCAATAGATGACAAGTGAGTTTCACAGCTTTTAATATAAAGCATTGATAACCTAAATTCACATCATTACTCCTCTACAAGATTACTTTAACCAAAAATAAAAACAGCTATGATTTACTCACCCTTACATTGCTCCAAACCCATGTGGTTTTCATTGTGCAACACTAAATGAGAAGTTCTTAAAGCTTCAAATCTCCAGTCCCGATTCATTGTGATTAAATGGAAAAGAGCAACCAGCACGTTCTTCTAAATTTCTGCTTTTGTGTAAAATACTGTATATTTTCAGCTGAAGTGTAATCACACCATTTTAGCTTTTCCAGTAACACAGTAGCTGATAGTTCACTAATGAGGAGGAAATGACAGGTCGTCAAGTTTGAAATGCTTTTCGTAAGCTCTATCATTTGAATCTCCCTTATTTTTTTTCCCTTAATTTTTTTAAAAGGTATTTCATGGTTTTTCCCCCGACTGTCTTATTGCAAATTCTGCATAAAATCAACAGCCTGTTTTTTGCGCATTGTACATTGATCTGTATAGCGAGGCAGGATGCTGACGGGTCGAATGACGGAGGTTTTCAGAATTGGTAGATTACATCTGCTCTCTCTCAAAGGTAACTTGCCAGATAAAAAGAAAATTCAGCCCACTTGCTGCACACTGCTAAGCAACTTCCTCTGTCGAGACAGCTGTGTATCAATCTATCACATGCAAGCACATTGTGTGCGTGTAGACAACCTGTGGAGTAAGTTTACCTTATAAGGAAGGTAACGCTGCTTGTGTTTTAATTGTTGTGCAAGCTCAGTTAAGGTCTGCGTGAAGTCATGGTCTAATTGATCTTTTTACACTATATATAGGCCCAATTATAGTATTTATATATAAATAAATATAAAAATCCCATTTATGTTTCTGTATAAATTATTTATTATAAAATATTGTAATATATAAAAGGCCTGAATTTTCTCTTGTTTTGCATGCATGCGTGTTAGTGCTTTCGTGTTAAAACAGTATGTCTGGTTTAGTAGGGTAATTGTTTTTGCTCTGGTTTTCTGTTGTTAGTTAAATCCTTAAACTTGATGTGGGAAGGTTTAGCAGTAGACACCAGTTAAACCGAAGAGAGACAGACAAAGAAACGCTTCAATTTCCATTTCCTGTGGCTTTTCTTCTAAAAGCAGAGCTGCGACGTACTCGCACTTGCATGTGCAATGCATCACCACATCCTCTGTTGTCAGAAACAAACCCAATTCTCGCAATTCTCTGCCATTTAAAGTTAAAACCCATGCTATTGTAAGACTGACAATAAAATAGGTCATAATTACATTTACCAAACATACAGACACCCCACACAAATTTTGCGGTTAAATGCCAGCACCGACTCTTACATGAACGCATTAGCCACTGCTTTTTCTAAGGCCACTCATCAAGTAACACGGCCTAACTAGAAGTCAAGCAGCCAGGAAGAGGATATGATGCAGTGTTTATAGATTCTTCTTGTTTTGACAATTGTTTGTACTTTTAAGCAGTCTACATTTACATTGAAGGGTCTAGTGACCAGAATAGAGACTTTAGGTCTTGTTTTGGGCCATAAAAACACGCTAGCATCCACCTACAACACCATAGCAGAGTTTCACTCGGAAGTAATGGTCCTTGGAAAATGTGAAACATTAGTTGAGTTACTCTCTCTAGTAATGTTTTTCATTCTTTAAACGAAACGAAATGGGGCCCTCCCTTAGTCCAGCGTTTGACATCTTTCTGGGAAAGCTCTTATGTAAGTCTCTTTGTTGCAAGTGTTCATCTTCATCACCTGCTTCTTTGTTTTCCTCATCTGCTTGATCAAAAGCCCTCAGAAGTCTGAAATGGACCGTTCAGTGGTGGCTTAAGTCCTTTTGACAGATGCAGATTTACAGTGTCCAACTGCCTCTGGTTTAGCCCACTGTTAATCCCCCCACAATAAAGCCAGAGAGACACGACATCTGGCATTTATGGAGATTTGACAGCTTTTGCTTTTTGAGATACAGTTTGAGCAACATGGAAAGTGATTTATTTATTTTTTTAAATTTTTTTTTTTTTTTTTTTTTTTTTTTTAAGATATTGAGCACATTTTTCTGGTCTTCCCAAACACAATAATTATTAGTACCAATACCAGATTATCTATAAATTAAGGGATTATCAAGGGATATCATCCTTAAAACCCCTTAATTTATGGTGTAGCTGGTATTGGTAGTAATAATTGTTTATATCCTCGTTACACAACTAAAGGAGCTTTTTCACTAAAGGACCATTTGACGAATTGGTTTCCAGTTGGTTGGTGCGAAAGCAGTTTTCTAAGCTTAGCTGCAGTCCACAGTAGGTATGTATCCAAGCCATCCTAAATCATAGAAGTGAATCACGGTTTTCTACAAATGTGTTTCTTAGTTACTTGTATTTCGATAAATTTCCGTTGGAGCGCATTCTTCGCATATTTTGCAAGACGCTTCAAGTCAGAGTACTAGTTCTCATCCTCTCATGAGAGGGGAACGGTGCTCTTGGTGGTCTTGGGTTGCAGATGAGCATATTTTTGTCCTCCTTTCTGTTCCAGAAAAGGAAGTTTATTTGAGCAACGAATCTTTGCCTTTGCTGCACATTCTCATGGCTTATAACGTCAGAGTAAACTTGCAATTCTTCTGTCAAGCGTTCAGTCTTGGTTTTCATCTCATTTACAAGAGCAGCAGCCACTTGATCAGGTGAAGTGAATGAAAATGAGACGTCAACATCCACCAGCCTGTAACCGTGCGATTTGCTCAACCACTGCTCTTCTTGGGTCAATCATAAATCTGCGTCACTCCACAGAGCCACTTTATAGATGCTTACAATGTTCTGTCTCACACGCACTACGAAACCAAAACATGTTTTTTCCATCCATGAAAGGCAGTGAGGATTTGATCCCTGCATGTGAGCATTAACAGACCTCTTTGGGTTGTTTTTCTGATGTTACTTTAGGAGACGTTGACTTTGGGGGAATTTAGAGTGGAGGGTTTATTCCGTTAGCGTAGAGAGCGTAAGTTTTTGTGATGTTTGATTTAAAGGGGGCTGAAAGGTTCCCAATATCTCAGTGTCCTCACTTTATAAGCCTCTAGTGGCTCATCTGATAAGCGATACCCAGAATCCCTTATTTATACAGCTGGATTCAACTGTTATGTAATAGACACCACACAAACGAATACATACAGACTCTACACTGTAGATGAAAAGCATCTACATGAGTGTCTATTGCAGAGCGCTTTTTTGTGTGGCCTGAAATTCACTACACATGGTCCTGATTTTCCCAGTCTTTCATCGCCCAAAGGAGTATCCGCCTGCAAATCCTCATGGTCATGGTAACCCTCGCCACGTTTACGCAAGGATGAAGTTCCACCCCCTTTGCTGTTACCCAGAAGTCTCCTCTAACTTTATAATTGGGCCTCTCCAAGAAGATGGCTCATTATTATGTATAGAAATGAGCGCAAACACCTGGCATAGGTACACCACCCACATAGAGTGGTTTGAGCCACGTAACCTGTGTACTATTAATTTCAGGGTGATTTTAGTTGTTGTTTTTGAGCTCAGTTAGATGCTTGATCTGTCATAAATGCTGATATCAGATGGGACAATGACACATCTCACCCTCATGTTTGAGACCGTTTTTAGGATGGTTGCATGAGGGTGTGTTTCTCTTTTAGGGTGTCTCTAATCATGGATAGGATTTATTTTTTCCATGAAATGCTACTTTTTGAACTGGCATGTAATATGTGAGAGCGTAAAATTTGAGATCTAAATTTTAACACTCGCAATCTTTGTCTTTCAGTGCTGCAGGAGGTGAAATTTTTAATCAGTGTGTTGCCGATAATGATGAGGCCTTCACAGAGAAAGATGTCATCCGATTGGCCAGACAGATTCTGATGGGCGTGGCCTGTCTCCATCAAAATAACGTAGTTCATTTGGACCTTAAGGTGAGTGTTAGGCATTGTACTATGTGCATGTTCGTGTTTTGCACGTTGATCATAATGATGCAACCGACAACTTTTTGACTAACTTTAGAACAGTTTTGTTGTAACTTAGACTCCCTTACATGGTCTAAAACGTGACTGCTGCCCCTCTATTGTCATTTGAAGGCGGTTCACTCTGTTTAAACACACTCTTGTTCACTGATGGCACCCACTGGTTCAAACTAATTGTAATGTTACTAATTTCATCAAGTGTGCCCATCCTGGTGTCTAAAAGTTTTAAACGGCTCTAATCTAGCATCACACCTGGTAGTTTTGTGCAGTATAAAAGCTTGTTTGATGTCAGTGAACTTATTGGGTGTGTACTTGAGGTTGAAAGTGTTTGATAAATGATGTTAATGGGGCGTTAAAGAAGGCTACTGTTCACATGCAACTTAGATCCAATTAAAAAAGTAATTAAATGAAAGATTAGGTCTAGGGTGGTTTCTTATAGTGCATGTTTTTTTTCTTCCTGTCTGAAGTGTTATTCAGTGTTTCCTTTCTCTCACACTCGTAATGTCTTCTCCAGCCTCAGAACATCCTGTTGACGAGTGCTCAGCCTCTGGGTGACATCCGCATCGTCGATTTTGGCTTGTCTCGGCGGGTGGACAGCGTGACGGAGGTACGGGAGATCCTAGGCACTCCCGAGTATGTGGGTGAGTCGGACATCCCTCATTTGCAAACCTCAAACCCTCCCATGCACGGCATAACTGCTGCAAAACCAGATACAGAGTAAAGGTGAAGACTTGTCAGCTCAGTATAGTGAAGAGGAGGGGTAGAATGAAAGCTTGTCTAGGACTAGTACAACTTCACGTGATCGAAACCTCAGTTATAGAAAATCTGTAGAAAGATCAAACGTGAAACCGTGTGTGAGCAGGATGTTTTTGACACTTGTATGGGAGTGCTTGGGTCCTGACTTTTTTTAATGTGAAGGGTTATGAGACGTTTGTTTCTCTCTTTCCTTCAGCTCCTGAGATCCTGGACTATGAGCCCATCACCACAGCTACTGACATGTGGTAAGTTGAGTTTGAGTGTCCAGAGTCCAGATGTGTGTGTGTGAGAGAGTATCTGTTCATGATATTTGACACACATATGAATGTTATATAAAGGCAATTCGACGTTGTGACGACATCTAGATAAATGAACCTGTAAAAGCAGATATAAGTTCCATGAAGCATTTCTGTAATCCAGTAGTACGATAAGTGTCAGTTATCAGCACGGTGAACTCAACGTGTGCAATCAGTTTACAATCCACTGATAATCTATAACAGTCTCTAGAATGTTTATACTCATTTACTGGATGGAAAAGGTGGTCGTCTCACACAGTCTCCAGGACATTCCTGTCTCATAATTAGGCAAGCAATATTACTTTTGGTCATTAAGTATTTAGAAGAAACCTCTAAACCAAGTATGAGCAAAAATATAAATGTAAACATAAATAAAAATGATTCTTGCCTTAGTGAGGTAAATGAAGTAGTGACCCATCTTCCATATTGACATACATCTGTGTGACACTGATTATTGAAAAAATAAAGGCTGGGACTTGGTTCTATCTGTTGGTTGTTGATTGGATCGAGGCAGATGTGAATGCATGTTCACAGTCGATTATAAGAAAGGGGCGGGATTTAAGCAAACATGCTTGAACCAGCCCAAGCTGGTTTGCTGGTCTTAGCAGTTTTAAGCTGGTCTCCCAGCCTGACCAGCTGAGAAATGGCCATAATCCATCTAAAACCAGCCGAACCAGGCTAGGAGACCAAGTAAAACCAGCAAACCAGCTTGGGCTGGTTAATTTATATTTCATTTTTAGGTTTACGATTACTCTCAGGTGATGAAATGGGTGAAGTCAAATTTGGTGGTGTGTTTTTCCTCTATACTGATCTGTGTTGCTGCTTTACCCCTACAGGAGCATTGGGGTACTGACTTACGTGATGCTAACAGGCGAGTCACCTTTTTTGGGAGAAGAAAAGCAGGAGACCTTCCTGAACATCTCCCAGGTCAACGTGGACTACTCGCAGGACGTCTTTCAGGGCATCTCAGACCTCGCCGTAAAATTCATCAAGTCACTGCTCCTCAAAAACCCCAGGTAGGGGAAGTTGGCTGCTATTCGTCAGTGTGGATGAGGAATGACAGTGCCCCGCTCCAGTCTTGTTTAGGCAAACTTGCATAACCTGATTGATGTAGTGGCTTTAGTTGGCTCTGCCCCAGACATGTAATCTCACGCTTCAATCTCTCATTAAAGCGTAATGGTCTCTTGGTTTAGAATATACAGTGAAATGATCCTTGCAGTCTTACTGGTTTCCCACATCCCTGGGCTCTTTTGCTGCAACTGATGAACGGTGGAAGCTTTTTTTTGGGGGGGGTCCGTTGGTGTAACTAATGGCAGTCCAGACTTGCCGCTATCATGGCTCTATGGGAACTGATAGTAGCACAGTCTCTGATCCAGGACCATAATCTGCACCCCATAAAACTTAATGCTTGTAGATCATCGGCACTGAGAAAGCAGGAGAGGAAAATGGAGAGCTTAAAGCTATGTGGAAAAATTCCTTGGCGTGCGAGTAATTGGAAAAGGAAAAATCCTGGGAACCTAAACGATAGTCCTTCACATTTGCAGAACTGATGGAGAAACCAAATGAGAACTTTTATGTGCTTTAATCATTGTGCTTATTTGTACATTCTTTAATGTTTTCACCACAGGGCTACATCTGCAGTTTTTGCTTAGTGAGCAAAGTGCATATATATATATATATATTAATTATATTTATAAATATTTTAAATAATAAATATTTTATTTAGTTCCATTTATTTAAATAGGCCTGTCTATTATTTGGTTTCATTTTCTTTTATTACATTTTTTTCCGTCCTATACTTTATTTATAAATAAACAGTTTTTTTTTATTACATTTTATGCTTATTCTAATTTATTCATTCATATGCTTATTCTATTTTATTTATATTCTTGTTTTTCTTTTCCTGGCAGAACATTTCTCCCAATATTAGCACAGTGTCATTTCAGTTTTGTGTGCCAGACTGAGAATGTGCTGATCGACATGTCAACACTGTCTATCACCAGTCCTGAGATGCATGTTGTACACACACGTACACACACACACAAAATCTGAAAATCACTGAGTGTTTAACAGTCTTTTTTTCTTTCTTTTTTCTCTAGAAAACGAGCAACTGTGGAACAGTGTTTAAATCATCCCTGGTTAAGGGTCGACCCTCATCACCACACTGTTGACGAGCAAGAAGCCAGCCAATCCGAATCAGAGCCTGAGAGTCCCGTCCCTTCCCCAGAACTTGTTGTCATCCCTTCATATCCCACCTGCCCAGGGCAGGGGGAGCTGAAGACCGGACGGGACACTTTCATTTTCAAAGAGTCGTTTCCATCCCGTCCAGAGATACAACAAGAGCTCATTTGTTAAGTGAGACACGATTGCCCGATCGGAGGGCCTCTGTGTTAATGACCGAAAGACTTATCTGAACTGGAACCGGTGCGGCCTAGTTTGGACTGGACAGCGGCGGTCTACTCAAGTGTTTGCAGTACCTTTGTATGTGCGTGTGAAGTCTTTGTGTTGTCTTGTGTAGGACACGTGAATGCGAGTCAACCTCACCACAGAGGTGTGCGCGTGTCTACAACAGATCTGAATGAGATTTTATTAGCCCTTAATAAAGCATACTTGAGCTCTTGGTCAAGGTTCTTAACTCATCAGTGCACAGCAACAAACTGTTTATACGTTTAGAGTGGACTGAACCTTTTCTGCTGTCTGTACTTGGTCCAAAACTCAAGTCGGAGTCTCCCCAGGAAGCGCCTGCTGCCTTGTAGGAAGGAAATGGAAAGTTCTGATGAATCGACTGATGTTTTATTTATCGCCGCTGTTCATTGGATCAACGTTTTATGAAATGAAAAACTGACGCTGCTGCTTTCTTCAGAACAGTAGATTTGACATCATTCTGCTTCTTTAGAAGTGGCATCTGCATTTTAAAGAACTGATTCACAGAGACTACTTTTGTTCTAGCACTTTTGGTGAAAAAAAAAAAAATTATACTCAGATTTCTCAAGCACATTTAAGTAGTTCAAGATGGCATGGTCGTACACATCTTCAACCACTGTTTGTTTGGTTTCTCACACCATTTCTGTACCACTTTTTCTGTTATTCATAACAAGTTTGCTATAATTGCACAAATGTACCATTTGTATCTTGTACCGTTGTTTTGTTTTCGAGGGGCATTTTTGCCTTGTTAATATATTCTGTATGTTGTTGTGTCTGGTAGGGCATCATGGGTATCGTGAGGTAAATTTTCCAAGTCGTCATTGATGGAGTGGGCTTATAACCGAGGGCCACTCAGAAGGTTTTCTGGGATTTGTGCGTTTCAGACAGTTGTGGGAGATGTTTGCATTTTGAAAAGAACCGAGCACAACATAACAAAAGGCTTTGATAATTGTATATTTTTTATTTTAAAAAAGAATGTAAAAAAAAAGTATTTTTCTACAGTTGTGGTATTTTATGATTAATATGAAAAAATAAATTGTAATAATTTAGTTTTTTTTTTTTTTTAAACCAGTTATGCTTAAAGTTTGCACTTGTGTCCAGTCGGACTACTTATATGTATTATTGGCATGCCTGGCAAGATATTGAAGAAAATAAATGATCATTTTGTATTAAACTATGAATACTCTTGTTTGCTTACCTTTTTAATATGTTCTAATATACATCGTTCAAAAGATTGTTTTTGTGAGAAGTCTCTTATGCTCCTCAAGGCTGCATCTATTTGATCAAATTCAGTAAAAATGGTAATAGTGTCTAATATTACAATTTTAAAATGTAATTTATTCCTGTGATGGTAAAGCTGAATTTTCAGCATCATTACTCCAGTCTTCACTCTTGTCACATGAGAAAATAGTCTAATATGCTGATTTGCTGCTCAAGAAGTTCAAAATTATTAGTTACTTAATTTAAGCCGTGAACCGCATTTATTTGAAAAAGAACAGTGTAAACATCTTGTCATTCATAATCGATTTAATGTGTCCTTGTTGATTTCGTTTACATTATTTTTTTTAAACAAATTTGTGCTTTAAGTACTTTTTAGATGGATCTATAGATGAGTATATTCAAAACCCAGCCATATCAAAAGTTTAATAGGTTTACTTTTGTAACGTAATGAAAGTTTTCAAGATTTTTTTTAATTTTCTTTTAGAAGTATACATACGTTCTTGATAGATCAACAAAAGAAAGTGTACAAAATGTTCCTTTATTGGACTAAGGCATCAAGTTTCCACATTCCAACCAGCAGGGTTGCAGGAAAATATGAAATATTTCTCCTCCATTTAGTTTTCCTAACCTTGTGAGGCTGAGGTAACCACTTGAAATGACTTTGTGAGAAAAATCCATCATTTTCTATGAAAGGTGGGATTCTCTTTGCCAGTGTTCCCTCAGAATGAGGCAGTAGTTTCTGCATGTGGATGCCAAGCTTATCACTATTAGTTGAGACATGAACTCGGCTTACCCTGAAGCATCTGGCATGCTTTAAACAATTGTTGGAAAGGGAAAATGTATAATATTAATAACTGGAAAATATAACTTTTTTTTTCATGTGAGTAAATTTGCTTTGATGTACTCATTCTGCTTGTCATATTGAATTAACTCACTCTTATATGCAATGGGTCCTTTGGAAGTGCATAGAAAAAATAGTGCTTTTTACTCTGACATTCTACCGGACTCTCAAGAAATTTGTTTTTGAAAGCTAACTTTTCTTTACAATAACACGTGCCTTTTACTCTGAATATTCAAAGACGCAAACAGGAAATGCCAGTCTGTGTTTAAGAAGAGAGCATGTTCCTGCATTCCTCAAACACACACACACACGCACACACAGGTTAGACAACATTGACATCTGCCAATAATTCTTGTTTTAATGTGTTCTTCCTCTGCATGTTAGCATTCTTCCTGCACACGCATATATACACACTCCCACCCTGATCTCTGGAGTTCCTGTTTCCCAGAGGAATTAGAGGAACGCATTGCTGTTTTTCAGATGAACTGATTCTCTTTCCTATCCTTTCTTTTCGCTTTCCCTCTGTTTCTGTCTTCACCTTCTAACCATGCTGCATTACTCCTCCTCACTCCCAATATAATGGTGGCCAATATTATATTGACATGTATAATATAATGACAGTATGCATTATACAGTACATAAAATTGTTGAAATGACATGCTGACATTGTACTGCTTTTTCATTATAAAAACGTTTAGTTATTTAAAAAAAACACTTAGAATAAAAGGGTCAATGGGGTTCAATCTTGACTCAATTCTAAAGAACCCTTTATGACAACAAGGTTCTGTATAGGAATGTCATGTTTAAAGGGTTATTTCTTTTTTCCCCCTATACTGATAAATTGTTTACGAGCTTGTTTAATTCATCAAATTGAATTAAAATGGATAACTAATTCAAATGAATTAAAAAACTAAATCCATAAAATGATCCCATAATGGGAACCCCTTAAAGGTTCTATGAAGTGCTGCAGAACACTTAAAGGTTCCACTTTAAGAACCAGAGTGTGTTTTCTCTATGTCCTTAAAGGAACTGTCTATCTTTGATACTGATGAAACGAGCCGCACTGCAACTCTGAGTTTTATTTCATCTCTGAAACTTTCCTCAGTTTCCCTGCCCTCCATCACACTGTGACATGATTATGGTGCAACTGAAACTCATTCTGAAATGTCATCTCTAATCTCATCCTCCAATTCCCCACAGCAGAGGGCTGCAGTAACAAGGAAAATTCCGGAAAGGGATCAGGAATTCAAAACATATGGGAACAAAGAGGAATCTCATAATATCCATCAGATCAGTGGTCTGAGTTACTCACCTTTGGAGTTACATAACCTGTGGATGCCAGAAGGGCATTATGAAGCTGATGAAGCATAACCTTTTTTACTGAAGTTCTGAAACATAGACAAAATAGTCTGTCGGTTTGGCAGGTAATGTTTTCAATCGCAGGTTTAAATTCTTTGGTATAAACAAAACAAGCTCAGTGATTTAGCTTTTTATTTTATTTGATTATATCATATTAATAATAATAATAATAATAAGGTGTCAAACCTGTCAGGAATAATTCAGTCAAAAATACATATTCTCTCATAATTTTCTCACTATAAGTATAAAACACAACATTTGTATCACTCTTTTCCATGCATTAACAATGTTCAAAGTCATATGATATGATCATTTTGGATGAGAAACAAACTGAAATTTCATTATTCTCTGATAATCTGCCTTAAACTGTTAATGCACATCTGGGTGGATGTGCGGAAGTCTTTCTTATCGAAAAACCTGAAGCATGTATAAATTCTTCTCCCCCTTCACAATGATTTTAATTTATGTTTTACCTTGCAGTTTAAATAAACCATACATCTAACATATTTTAACTTTATTAATATTGATTATGATAACCAAACTTTAACATCATGAGGGCAGATCCCTTGAGCGCAGCTGATGACGCTTTGAAGTGATGCTTGACTGATCAAGAATATTCCAATATACACTCACCTAAAGGATTATTAGGAACACCTGTTCAATTTCTTATTAATGCAATTATCTAATCAACCAATCACATGGCAGTTGCTTCAATGCATTTAGGGGTGTGGTACTGGTCAAGGCAATCTCCTGAACTCCAAACTGAATGTCAGAATGGGAAAGAAAGGTGATTTAAGCAATTTTGAGCGTGGCATGGTTGTTGGTGCCAGACGGGCCGGTCTGAGTATTTCACAATCTGCTCAGTTACTGGGATTTTCACGCACAACCATTTCTAGGGTTTACAAAGAATGGTGTGAAAAGGGAAAAACATCCAGTATGCGGCAGTCCTGTGGGCGAAAATGCCTTGTTGATGCTAGAGGTCAGAGGAGAATGGGCCGACTGGTTCGAGCTGATAGAAGAGCAACTTTGACTGAAATAACCACTCGTTACAACCGAGGTATGCAGCAAAGCATTTGTGAAGCCACAACACGCACAACCTTGAGGCGGATGGGCTACAACAGCAGAAGACCCCACCGGGTACCACTCATCTCCACTACAAATAGGAAAAAGAGGCTACAATTTGCAAGAGCTCCCCAAAATTGGACAGTTGAAGACTGGAAAAATGTTGCCTGGTCTGATGAGTCTCGATTTCGGTTGAGACATTCAGATGGTAGAGTCAGAATTTGGTGTAAACAGAATGAGAACATGGATCCATCATGCCTTGTTACCACTGTGCAGGCTGGTGGTGGTGGTGTAATGTGTGGGGGATGTTTTCTTGGCACACTTTAGGCCTCTTAGTGCCAATTGGGCATCGTTTAAATGCCACGGCCTACCTGAGCATTGTTTCTGACCATGTCCATCCCTTTATGCCCACCATGTACCCATCCTCTGATGGCTACTCCCAGCAGGATAATGCACCATGTCACAAAGCTCGAATCATTTCAAATTGGTTTCTTGAACATGACAATGAGTTCACTGTACTAAAATGGCCCCCACAGTCACCAGATCTCAACCCAATAGAGCATCTTTGGGATGTGGTGGAACGGGAGCTTCGTGCCCTGGATTTGCATCCCACAAATCTCCATCAACTGCAAGATGCTATCCTATCAATATGGGCCAACATTTCTAAAGAATGCTTTCAGCACCTTCAGTGCCAACATTTCTAAAGAATGCTTTTAGCACAATCAGTGCCACGTAGAATTAAGGCAGTTCTGAAGGCGAAAGAGGGTCAAACACAGTATTAGTATGGTGTTCCTAATAATCCTTTAGGTGAGTGTAGTTGCATTCTTGGTGTAAGAGGCCCTGAGAGCGGATGGATCGAGGGTGAGTAAATAATGACAGATAATCAATTAATGAATAATGAATTTGCTTATGCAATCTCCTGGTTTCTCTTTGTCTCCCTTGACTTTTTGTAACAGTATGACAAGCCTCCTTTTCTCACCGTCTCATTTTTAACCTCTGTGACTTTCCCTGGGGGGAGAGGCGAGCTCTTGCATAACCAGGACATTCCTTTACGCCTCTGACCCGATTAGAGCTCATTAAGGTGAGACTCACAGTGGAAAAGGAACAAGAGCGAGAAGTGATCATGGTGATGATCACATTAATGAGCACTGAAAGATGAAAGGTGGGAGCCATCTCTGCTTCAAGTGTTCATGATGTGTGTGAGTTTCCTTTGTCATACAGGAGGCAACGAATGTTTCAAATTACTTTTCACAGGGTAATATATCATATATCTTGATGGAATATATTGTTTTCTCTAACCACTGCCTTAAGTTCATCCTGTTTGACATATCCTCCCTTTCAGATCACTATATTCTAAAAAGAAAAAAAAGATGCTTGCTGTATGCTGCACATCCTTTCATAACACTGAATATTCTCACCATCCAAACTGTCAACTTATTTCATGCTCTGTTTATGGAGCATTTACTCCATCGGGTGCAGAAAACAACTTCATGCAGGGCTCAACAATGATACTTTTTTTCTGATGGTTTGTTGGGATCAGTTCAAATATGAACTGATATGCTTTTTCACAAAAAGCTAAATGTTATGTGTTATATTGTTACACTGTATGTGTACATTTTCCATTATACTGGGGCAGTTGAATGCTTGATTCTGATAACAGCGCTGTTCTTGGAGCAGATAAACTTACAGTTTCGCTAT